GATGCGTCATCATGCATGAAGTTGATGCATACAAGGACAGATTTTAAGTGACACCACGATTTGACACTACTTTGAGAAATAACAGTTAATTTAAGTCTTAAAACGCGCAGATAGATGAATCACGGCGTTAAAATTAAATATGTCACTATCAACAGAATGTGCCGCAGCATTACTATCTTTTAGATACCCTAGTTTACATATAATGAGCTAAAATGATGCATCACGACACGCGATTCACGGCTTGCCTTGCGGGTGTCAATTTTAAAGTGATGCGTGAGACTTCGCCATATTTCTGTTCTAATCCAGAGGAACATCGAATCTTCAGGTTTAAAATGCTTCACAAGTTGTAGTTTAACGCGTGTATCGCTCGTGCTTTAGACCGGTGATAAATAAGCTTTGATTTCCTCGACGCCGTTGAACCTAGACTCTCTGAATATAAATTATTTCGCTGTACTAACAGGCAAGTGATGCACTGACGGGAAAGGTTTACAAGGTGAGTTCAGTTTTATGGTGAGTATTTTGTGTTTGGACTTGGAGTCGCTTTAACACCGATTTGAGTTAATTAAAGTGTGATAGGAACTTGACTTGACAAGAACATTTATTCTTCCACAGCGGATCGCGGTGCGACGTTCGAAATCGCTCAATGTTCGATCGAATCACTTGTTCTTTACTTTAAATTAACAGAAGGTTTCGGCGTGAAATTAATATTCTAGTAACAATTATAAGAATCATTTGAGCACTCAGTGAGCTGAATCAACACTGACAGCACTGTTTAGAATCTGAAGTTCGCCCTTCACGGAGATCGAATTTAGCGGAAATCAATGAAGGCAAAAATTGGACTTGTAAATGTATGACTTCGACATGACAATGTCACGCTTCAGCATCTTTGTCAATTCAAACCGATAAGCCTCACCAGCGAGTCACCAGCGCTCGAAAGTGAAGTAAATATGAGAGGCTTCATAAGAATCCGTTGTAAACTCATGGAAATATGGGACTTTAAACTTGGCAATTTTCACAATGAAATGTGTGCAATGGGGCTCCGTTGACGTGTTACATCTTTCATTCGGTAACCCATGGCGGTCAAATATTGACTCAATATTTACATGTGAAGTCGGTAATTCAGAATTTTACCCACTCCAGTTTAATGATGAGTTTTAAATTGCCCTACTCTCTTTCTCTATAAGAATATATGTTATAAGAATATCGAGGTAGAAACTTAGCTTTTAAGATTATTTTAAGAGTAAACCCGAGGCTGAGAGTTTGAAAAGAATGTAATTCTGTCTTGAAAATTTGTAAATATAAAATAATTGTATGTCTTTGAGTAAACTGTATACGTATAAAATTCTTCCTTTGTCTAAACGGAAAGAGTGGCCAAAACACAAAAAAACAGCACTAGACGTATGTTTGATGCTAATCAAATTTCTGTAAGAAGTATGTGTCATAACAGGCTTTAATGCCTGCAGTCTGGCTCCAAAATTACTTCAACGCCATCAAAGATGTTATGTGCTATAATCAAAGAATATTCACAAGAACAGTTTCGGCCTAAATTGACAAAGAACTAAGAATATTCAACCTGGGCCGGAAAACAATATCCTTACATAAGAAAGAGTACTTGGCAATTTTCACAATGCAGTGTATAGTAAGGGGCAAGTGCATTACCAATATTTTAATTTTTCATTCGGTCAAGCACGGCGGTCAAATATCTTAAGTAAATAATTCAGATATTTACTCACTCCAGTTTAAAGATGGGATGTAAAAAGACCTAATTTTTTCAATAAGAATATATTTTATGTGACTATCGAGGATGAAATTTGTGAAATTTTAAGAATATTTAAGAACAAACCCGAGGGTAAGAGTTTGAAAAGAATATTGTTTAAATTTGTGTTTTGAAATTTGTAAAAATAATATACATATAACAAGAGTAGCCAAAAAAAAAAACCACCAAAAACAGCACTAGCCGAATGTTCGATGCTAATAACATTTCTGCAAGAAGTTATGTGCTTCATATCAGGCTTTAATGCCTGCAGGCTGGCTCCAAAATTACTTCAACGCCATCAAAATCGATAAAATGGAAATGCCGGTCGCTATAATCAAAGGATATTCAAAAGAATATTTTCGGTCTAGAATCGGCGGAAAAGTAAGATTATTCAGCCTGGGCCGGAATAACAATATTCTTATATAAAACAGAGTACTTGGCAATTTTCAAAATGAAATGTATACTAAGGGGCAACACATTAAATATTCGGTGACGTGTTTTCGTAACAAACAGTTTTCTTTTTTCATTCGGTCAAGCATGGCGGTCAAATATCTTAAGTTTTGTCAAAACATCTCGTAAACATAATGTAAATACTCCCTTTGCATCTAGATCTACTTTCTATCTTCCAAAAATTCG